TTAAAGTCAATTGTACCTTTAATATAACATAAAATTTATTTAAAAATTTTCAAGTGGGTGATAGTTGGAGTCTCCATATAACAATTGATAAGTCTAACAACATAAAGAATATCAAATCTTATGTGTCATAAACTCCCAACCAAACTCTTGAAAAGAGTTGAATCAATTCATTATCCATCATAAGTGTGTTGTGTTATGAAATATTATGATTCATCTAAAACTTCTTCAATATCTCCCTAGCATAACCTTCTTATGAAAAGAATATTATATTTTCTGCTTACTTTAATCTCCATTTCTCTTTAAAACGCCTCCGCTCTGGCTCTCTCTCGCAAGTTTCACCTTCGCTCGGCTAGGGCAAAGCCCTAGCCACTTTCCTTGGGTTTGTTCATGATTTTTGCTCTAATTTTTCTCCCTTCTCTTGTCGCAGTGTTTCCACTTCATCTTTTGCTTATTTTCTTTTAGGTTTTGCATTATTTTTGTATGTTATCTATTGTTAAGCGTAGCCATTCTGATTTTTTGGTTTGTAAGAATCATTCTAAATCTTTCAAAGATGCTTTATCTGGTTCTGATGCTTCGAAGGAGTTTTCAAATTTGAAAGTTTCTACACTAAGGGGTTTGCCAGTGTTATGGATCTAAAAGGAAGATGTTTTTCATCTTTCTAAGCTTTTCGATCTTGCTGTGGTTAGGAAATTTTTGCTTCGTTGCCCTGTGTTATATTCGATCAGGAAAATTTTCTTCAACCTCAAATTGTCCTTTGAGTTTTCTGTCACCCTTTTAGATCAGGGCAACATGTTGATCAAGCTCTCTAAGGACCTTGATTATGAAAGAGTTTTTGCTCATAAATCTTATTTTATTTTTGGTAGATTTATAAAATTGATAAAAAGGATGCCATTTCTAGACTTATCAAAAGAGTCTCTGATTGTCCACGTCTGGATCTCATTTCTTGAGCTTCACCCTCATTTCTATTTTCCAAGCATTCTTTTGGTTTGAGGTCTTTATTTGTATGGCCACTTCAATCGAATAATGCCACTACTATAGGTTTTAGGCCATTCATTGCTTGTATTCTTGTGGAACTGACATTTCTAGGACCTATCCAAACTTTGTTTGACTTTGACTAAAGAAATTTGGCTATATTCAAAAGATGGTTTTGGAAGAATTTCCTAGTTACTATGTTCATTGTAAAGTTATGGGTCATAAAAATTCTGAATGTATTAAGTTGCATCCTTAGTTGAGGAAGGTTGGCATTACATCTACTCAGCCTCATGTTCGTTCTGTCCCTATTCCTATTACGGAGTTTGGAGTTTTGGCTTTAAATAATCCATAATCAGATAATGCCCCTATTCTTGATCTAAAAACTTATATTGCCCCTATCCTTGATGGGAAGTTTGGTAAGGTGCTTTAGAATGATCATGCTTACACTCTTCACAATGTACATTTAGGGATGGGTTCATTGATTTCTCCTATTATTCCTCCTTTTGAAGTTGTTTGTGTTAACAAAAATGTCGATTCTCCTCTACTTGCTCCCTCTAGTGCTATTTCATTAAATAATGTGGAGTGTCATGGTGATAAAATGGATAATATTGATCATAATGTTGATTTTTCTGGTAAGCAATTAATTTATTCCTTTGGTGGTTTAAGTTTGTCGCATGACGTTTCTAATGTTGTAAGTAAAATTGTGGCTTTTAATGCCAATCCTGTCACTGATTTTGTTTTTTTTAATGAAGAACTGGATGTTTCTAATAGCATCCCTATTATTGATTTACATGTTTCTCCTATGACAGATGTTGCATGTATTAATTTGGATGGTAAGTTGCATACAGGTTTGCATTTAGTTGATCACTCTTATTGGATTAAGGAATTATCAGGTAATAAGTGTCGTGATGGGGATATTAATGGTGGTTGTTCTAATAAATCTTTAGAGAATTTTGATTTGAATGTGATGATAATTGATAAAGCTGGTTTCTCTATGATTTCAGAGAAGAAAAACAAGAAAAAGATAGTTAAAAATTTTTTGAGTTGAGCTTTGTATTGTTGTTGGTTGTTCTTCTATGATGCCTGTTATTTTGTGGGGTTTTGTTGTTGTTAATATCTTCCTTTTAGTGGTTTTTGGGGGTCTTGTATTTTATGTCCTGGGTTCTCTAGTGGTTGGTATTGGTTGCTTTGTGCTTCTGTGGGTTGTGGTTGGTTCCTCCTCTCGGTTTAGTTACTTGTGGTTGGTTTGGTTGCCGCTATGTTTTGCTAGGTCTTTCTTCCTTGACCTTCTACTTTATGTATTGCTTACTCATTCTTTCTTTAGATTTTATGCAGGTTTTTGATGTTTGGTAGTTTATTTGGTGTTTCGTGTCGGCTGCATGTATTTTTGGATGGCTGCTTGTTTTGGATCTGCTAGCTGCTTTCGATTGGCCTCTCTTGGGAGGCCATTTGGTGATCTAGCTTGCCTCTCTTTGTTTTATTTTCTTTTTCTTTTTTTCTTGTATTAGGTTTTATTTCAAATGTTATTTTTTTAGAGAGCATATGATTCATTAAGGACTTGTTACCATATTTTTAATCAACGCGTAGGCTCCTATATCAGTATCCAAATATATATATATATATATATTTTATATATATATATATATATATATATAGGTTAAGTTTAAAGCCTAGATAATATGCCTAATGCTTGGATTACTTCTGGAGAAGATCAGTCATAAGCATACAATTTAAAAAAAATTATCATCGTTATTCTTGATGCAAAAAGCATGCTGATCGGGACATTTAATGAAGCATTTCTATTGCGTGTACTTATCTATTAAATTATTTCATGACCTTAGCACATGCTTGAACCTATAGAGTTTTTTTTTTTTTTTTTTTTTAAAACCATATGTATTGTCCTTTAATTTTATAGCCAAGTTGCTAATAAAAATAGAATTTTTCTTCAAGGATTACATTCAGGAATGTTGATTTTATATTCAATTCTCCACATATTTTGAGTTGTCAAAGAAATGATTAGTTTAATAATTTATAATCAAGCACTGAGAGAAAATATCTTATCATTATTGATGCTAGTTCTTTGATTGTAGTCTTTTATAACTAATCTTGTCTTGTATCTTTTGACATCTTCATTTACAATCTTTTTTGCTTTATATACCCACTTCATGTCAATCTTCTTTTGTCATTTATGAGATGAAGCTAGTTGTCATTAATCATTCATGTCAATTGTCTTGATTTCGTCATGCATAGCATCTTTTCACTTCTTACTTTATATAGCTTCTTAGAAGTCCATGGACTAGTAGTTGGCAAAAAGTCAAAAAGAGTAAATTTTTCTTGATTCTCAATTACCACATGGTGACCTTCTAAGATCTTGAAATGTGGAAATCTTTCACTTGAACTCTTGCTTGAAATTAATGAAGATGAGTTTTTTTTGAGTATTTATGATTGATACTATTAATGGAGGTTTAGACTCCTCTCGTAATTGTTCCATTTTTTTGTTTTTCCACATTATTTTCTTAAAAGTTGTAGTCTTCAATTATGATCCTCAATCTCATTCTTTTTCCTCATCATGTATGACATCTAGATTAATGATTATCTTCAAGTATTTGGATTGCATAACTTATAACCTTTTGTATTATTTTCATAACTAATGGAAACAAATGTATTGATTTCATCATCCAGCATAGTATTTCATGTTAGGCACATTCACAGGAATATAATACCAAAAATTCCATGATATGAGATGTTAGACTTCCTTCTGCAAGATACTTCTTGTGGTATCTTTCCCAGGCTTTTTATTAGTGATTGATTTGCTAATTAAGATACACTTGCAATTCTTCTACCTAAAATTCCTTAAATCATCTGGTGCTTCAAGCATGCTCCTTGCCAAATCAAGGATTAATTATTCTATCCTTGTTTTTTTTTTTTTTCTACCACTTCATTTTGTAGAGGGGATTTTGGAATTGTCAGAGATTGATATATTCCATTAACTTTGCAAATTTTTAAAATTGTTTTGAAGCGAAATCTGCTCTTTAATTTGATTGCATGACTTGAATTTGTAGTCCACTTTCTTTCTTCATATATAATGGCCTTAAACTTCTTGAATACTCTAAAGGCCTCTAATTTTTTCTTCAAAAAATATACACATATTTTGTTAAAAAATTTATCTATAAAGAGAAGGAAAAGGTTACTTTTATTGAGTTAGCATGGCTTTATTGGATCACAAACATGTGTATATAATACCTCAAGTGACTTTCAAGCTCTTATACTTGACTCCCTTTTAGAGCTTTTCCTAAATTTCTTTCCGAAGATACATGTTTTATATAATTGATCAGAGTGTTTGATACAAGGTAGTCCTTTAACCATCTTTTTTCTTGAAAGCAACTCTAGTCCTTCAAAATTGAGATACCGAAATCAAAGAATTCATAATCAGGAAGCATTTTTATAACAAGCTTTGAGACACATGGAGTCATCATTTTGAATATTGAATAAGAACATTCTGTTTCTTAATATTGACATATTAGTATTAAAGTTTCCAATATTCTCAAATAACAAGTATTTCTTTCAAGTGGATATGATATCATTTCTTCAAGAGTTAGCCTAAACTCAAGTAAACGGAAAAAAAAATGAAAAAGAGCTAACATTGTCTAATGTAAACATAAAAAACATAAAAAAACCAACACAATAAACTCTAAACGGCTATATATCTAGATTATATTACAACAAAGAGGTATAATTGCATTTTTAAAATTCCTAATTTCATTAAATTGTAGAGATATGACTAGAAATTAATATAAATAACATCATAATAAAAATTAATTAAGTTTTTATAATGCATAATTGATAATTAATTGTGAAATATTAATGAAAAAAATGTTTTATTCAAGCAAAGGATCAAAAATTTTCAAGAGATCAAGATTAAGTATTACATAAGGAAACAACATACCTGTGTGATTTGTACAGTTCTTAACTACAAAAAAGAAAGCTAATTTATAAAATCTTACATAAGAGTGTGAGAAAGTAGTTGCCTGTGTTTCGCGATCAATGGTATTGGTAGCTTGAGAGCTGAAAGAGGAACGTTGATATCGCTCGAGAGTTTTGCATGTGCTGACAGAAATAGAAAATGTTAAAATCAGAACAATGTTATATTTCTGAAATTGTAAAATTGTAAACATAGTTGACGTTAAAGGAGATACAGCTCACCCGTTTTTAGGCATAAAGTGTAGAATGCTTAGGCAAGGCTTGAGCCTTGGAAATGTTGTCTTTACATCACTTTAACTTCGTTTGGAACCACTACTTTCTAAAGCAGCTTTTTAGTATAAAAATTTCTAATTCATAAATTTTTTGTTGTAGAAAACTACTTTAAAAAGTAGTAAGAAAGCAGCCCCAAACCAAGCCTTTGTGTCATTTACTATTTTTTTTAATTGCATAAAGTTCTAATCCTGTTTTGCATAATTTATATTCATGTTAACTTTAATCTATAAATATTTCCTCTTGATCATATAATATTAATCTAATTTATTTCTCTTATGAATGTATATTTTCTACTTATTGTAGAGCATGTAAAAACAATGTAAATCCAATTTTTACATTATTATATTTAAGATATGCTCCTTCCATCACTTTTTATCATAATCATTAATGAGTCTGTCCATTGTCCTTCATAATTTAGTCACTTGTATATTATAACATTCTTATTTCTATCATGCTTAACTTGGTTACAATTAATAGCATCCCAAATACTTTAATCAGTAACATATATTTATCACTATATCCACTTGTAATATAAATTAATAATTATTTAAATCTTACCCATATCAGGCACTTAGATTTTGTTTGGTCATATTGTTTTTTAAAGCAAATTTTTAGTACAAAAATGTTTTGTATTAAAAAGCTGCTTTAAGCAGTAAGAAAGTCATCCCAAACGAAACCTTAGTTTATATTGTACAAAGTCAATGTGCATTTATATTCAAAAGTACTCAAACAAGCCACTTATTCAATAAAATCTCTACAATTAAAATTCTGATATATATGGAAAGCTTACACTAAGGGGTCTCTCATTTTTAATATCTTTTATAAGAATCTTTAAAATCAAAATAAAAGATACAACCTTGATATTGATCCTAGATAAAGTCTTAACATGATTGGAAAAAAAAGGGTTATCCTGTCCATAACTAATTATAAAATCAATCAAGACTCCATAAAGCATAAGTTAAATAAGGTAATACTTTTAATATAATTTATCAAAGTAATTTTTAATCAAAGGTTAAATTTATCATAACATTCTTTTCTAGGAAAAACAAAATAATTTTGATATATTGTCTCAATGTTTTCTTGAAAACTATTTTGAAATTAAAATTAGATTTCATATTCACCCAATTTGATTATCAATTCTTATTTGCCAAAAATTTAAAATCAAACTGAATTATGAGTGTAGTATTTGTTAAGGCATTAAAAGTATATTTTCAATTGTTGGGTGGTCTTCAAAAAATAATAGGATTACATATTATCTTTCTAATTCATCAAACGTTGAGATCTCAAAATTGCCTTTATTATAACTTTACTTAACATAAGTCATTGGCTTAGTGTGGTTTAAAAAAATAAATTTGGATTAGGAATATATTTGCCTAGTGTATGAGAGTATGTAAGGATTGTACTTTTATTATTAAAAACTTGGAATACTTTCATAACTAAGATGAAATTAAATACAAAAGAGAAATCGTAGTCCCAAAAGAAAAAAAATGATGGAATCATTGAGCCAAAAGTTTCAAGGACATAAATAACACGCCATAAAATAAGAATAAGTTAATCATAGTATGTCTCCATTCAAAGGGACCATTATTATCTAAGCAATTAGTAGAGGGCCTAGTTAAATAAGGGATATTCTCAGATTGCTTCTTTTTACCTCTATCATGTTGATCTTCCTAAGCACTTGTGATGTCAAAAATAGGAGGTTTAATTGAAAGATATAAATAAGTTGAAATCAAAATATATTGAGGATTTGACGGAAAAGGTGACAAAGGAGGAAGAATAACTACTAAATTGAAATTGTCATCACAAAAACCTAGTCCTTATTGACTACGGTCGGCTTGGCAGTGTGATCTTGGTCTTGTGGTTGTTCTTGGCTGGTTTGGTTGCCTCGGATGGTTGGCGGTGTGTAAAATCCTTAAAAAGCTGATTTTTTTTTGTGCTGTTAGTCCCGTACGATCTGACTTTAGTACTGGACGAACTGAAGAAATTTGTGAAGAAATCTGCCATTTTCGTCTGTACGAACCTGGAGCAGTCGGGGGGGCGTCACACGGTGTCTCTTGCTACCATTGTTAATTAGCCTCGACCCTCTTCTTGTTCATATATATTTTTATTGTCATTATTATGTAGGTTCGTCTTATTTTGTATTATGCTTATCTATTTTTGGTTGGACGATTTTTCTCTTGCAGATCCTTGGCGTATATCCCTTGGCTTGTCCACCTATAACGGCTTGTGTTCTTACTGCTCAGCTTTTCAAAGGCTCTCACTTCTCGAACCCTCTAGGTAACTTTCTTTTGTTTCAGGTTTTTATTTATGTTTTAATTATAACTTAGTGGGGACCTTAAGCTTCTAGGTTCTTTTTTTTTGCTCTGTTTGTTGCTCATTGAGCTATAGTGGTTCTAGGTCCCTTTTAAGGACTTGTATTCCTTTTATTTATATTAAACACGTAGTTCCCTATGTGATTTTTTTTTTTTAATTTTAAAAAACACCTCATTGGTTAAATTAAAATGTTGATTTAAAATATCCTAATCAACATCAACTCTTAGATCAACTTGACTCTATTGCATCAAAGAATGAATTTTTCAAAGAGTACGATGGATTACATAAAAGGAGAAGACACTTAAGTAATAGTGTGTATTGGAACTACTTGAGGGAGGATATCTAATTATAGCAATAACATTACCATAAAGTTGTCTTGTACTCATGTAAGGCAATCTCATGCAAAAATAAATGATTATGCAAATAAACTAAGAAACCATTTCAAGCATCATCATTTTTCTGTAATCATATTCTTTAAATTCAATCCATATAGAATTAGAAATATGTCAAGTAAAATCAACTTCTGTAAGAAATATAATAATAGATGGTTTAGATAGCAAAGCAATAGGAGCATCTATACATAAAGGTTTACTTGATGATGAAATAAGATTAATCAAATTGATAAACTTGAAGGTGTAGAAATGATATCTAAATAGGAGCATGTAGACATTTGCTAAGAAGATCAAAGTGTGAAGGTCATTTGCTTATCCTTATGACGAACCCCTAAATATTCAATCTCCTATTCATAAATGGAGGTGTGTAATCCTTCAACATATCAACTTTTATTAATGCATTCTTAGAGTTTAGTAAGGAAAAAGAGATTCCACCATAAGAAAAATAAACCTTCAAGTGATTCCTCTTTGAAAGAAATGTTAGTCTTTCACTAAAAAAGGTTTCAACAAGTGAAAAAAGGAAACAAAGCTACCAAAATTTAATCACATTATTTGATAGCATAAAAGCAATCTCACTGTCAAGGTAGAATGATGGAAATGAGTGTTTGCTAACAACAAGAGGATGGGATGCTAATGGAAACCTAATACATGTATATATATAAGATTTAAGTGTAGGGAGAGATCCCACACTTGAGTAGCATAACATAGAAGTGGTGAACACAAAGGAAGGCAATGCATAATGAGAATCTAATCCCAAGAAAGTTGGTGCTGATGACAGAGTTGTTGATAGGAGGTTATTAGAGGATCAAACTAGATCGATAAAGTGTATTAAAAATTACATCTAAAGGAAGATAAACCAATTTATAAGTTGACCTAGAAAGAAACCACAAAAAAGTTCATTTGGAGTGCTAGTGATAGGGAGCATAATGGAAGCAAATGGTGTTAATTCCCAAAGGCTTACTTGGTATAAGATTATAAAGAGTAATAATATATAAGCCTAAGTATGCTCCAAAAGCTTAATCAAGGTGGAAGCCATTGGGTGTCTAAGATACAATAGGAAAAGGGGTCGAGCGGCAGGGGGTTGAGCAAGGGAAGAAATGACAACACTATTCAGGAAATTATGAGATGGTAGATGTAGTGGTTACAATTTTCACTAAGAAAATATGTATTTGGGTTGAAAATGCCTAAAACTAGAGAGCCTCTATAATCTATTTGATTGATTTTTATGCATATTGCATAGAAAAGTTGAATCCTAAACTTTGTGTGGGCATTGGCTAAGCATAGATGAAGGTTTTAGGGTCAACTAAACCATATCAAATTTTCTTCTATGTTTGAATGCTTTATAGTTCTATGTTTGGTTGAATGTTACTATCCATTTACATATATTACTTGGATTTGCATGATAGAGTGGCAATTGTGCAAATACTAGATATTGTATCATTGTGTAGAGTAAATTTAATTCATTGTGCTCAAAATAATAGATTTCCATCTTAGCATAAATAAGAATGTCATCATCATAACTTGTTTAGATTATTGTTGTCTAAATTTTGGTGTAATAAATTAACATGACAAGCTTTTTTGTATAACCTAGCTCAATTACGAAATATATGTAAACATAAATATAAGTAACCATAGATGATCTACCTTGCATTAACTTTTCTTGTATGCATTCACCTCTTTTATTAGCTTTATTTGTTATAACTTTTATGTTATTAAAATGAATATTTTAAAAGTACCATTTCACCTTTCCCTTTTCTTGGTGTGTCATCCACTCTAAAATATGAATAAACAAAATGATTTATAAATTAAGAGTCCACATTTCAAATCATTTGTAGTATTCAATATTCATTAATGGAAAATAAGAATTCATAAGGCTACTCTCATATAGTTGAGGGTTAAACTAATGTCAATGTTGCACTAAAAATTTTGTAAATCTTTTATTTAATAAATTTTTAAAGTTGCTCTAATGTCCTTTTTTAGTTTCAGCGTTATTGAAAAAGAACATACTTGTAATAGCCTAAACTTTCAAGCATCAAGATATTATTCTTTAATGCATAATATGTTTTTTTAATTTTATTCTCTTAATGTAACTTCTCATGAAATCACCTATTCCAAGAGTATAATAGCAAGAGATCGAGCACACTTAAT